ATCCAGTGTTTGGTTTGTCTGTTCTGGGCTACTGTAGAAACATGGTGGTTCAACATGGCAGACTCCATGGAAGAGGACCGGCTCCTTCTGTAGATAGAAAACGACTCATTCTAAGGTGACGAAAACACAACAATCCTTATTTTCAGGTGATGAAAATATACCTATATTAAATTTCTGCCAATAGATCCTCCTAAATGTTACACACTGGACCTTTAAGTGACTTATGCAAAAGAAGGGAACCTGAAATCAACTTACAGCAGGTCCAAACTTCTCATGAAACTCATCAATGACCACAAAGTTGATGTACTCCTCGTCATCTTCATCATGATCTGCTAAAACAACCCTCTCAATACTGATTAATGGCTTCGAAGACATGGATTTGAGGAGAAGAGAATTGGATGCCTTTATAACGCTTACCCAATGTGAGTGTCTTCCTGTATGGCTGAAATTTTTTCACATTCAAGTGCTCCTCAAGTCTGTGGTCATGAATATTTCTGTGCAACACACACTGCATGTTAGAGTTAAAGGCCAAGTCAGAGTCACCAATAGTGATTGATTACTTACCCACTGTCAGTCTTTTCCTCATTGGTAAATTCCACTGTTAATTAAATGATACAAAAAACATCTTGTCGTTGACATAAAAAAAAACTTGAATTAAATGTAGTGAAAAGGTAAAAGTGAACTCACCATTCACAATATCATGCCCGTAGAACAGTTTTGAACCAGGATATTTACAGCCATTACTGCCACTAACAACTGAAACAATACACAAGAGTTATTTGTTACTGGACGGTGAATTGTATTTGGCACACTGCCTTTTGACAAAACCAATTAACTCCCAAGAAGATACACGGTGAACATTTTTCTGACCGTCTGCCAAGATCAAGGTTTTGTTGGTGTTGATGCGTTGGACGACGCCGAGGTAAGATGAAGTCTTGAGGGTCAGTTTGATACGTTTTCCCTTGAGGACATTCAGGAACTGGACGTCTTCCACAAACATTTTTGACCACAACGAAGCTGCTGGCTTATAGATATCAGGCTGTCAACGCTTTTCTGTTAGCCTCAGCAATTACTTGCTAGGCTAGGCTAATTGTCCGAGCGTGAGGGGCAAATCAGCGTTGCGTTCAAAAGCACCCTGTTCATTTCAACTTCGACTTCCTAGTCCCTGCCTATCTCTCATGAGAATTAGCCAAATAAAACAGTAAAGGCTGGGTTTTATGATATGATATAATGATACAACATTTTTTCCAACATTAACATTTCCAACTTTGGTGGACCCCCAGGGAAATAAAAAAGAAACTGTGAGTAAAAGTAAAATCACACTTGATGGTCATCTACAACTGTCATTGGGTAAAACAAATACAAAACAAAGTTTACAGACATTTTTGTTTTACAGAAGGTTAATGCTGCTTCAAGTCCTACTTTTCCTATTTAGTGTGGTGTCTGTCTTTGCGGACCAACAGCAGGAACAGACACAGTTCGTACAGTAAGCACTGTCTTCAAATGAGTCCAACACTTGGGTAATCTGTAGATAACTCCAAATATCCACCAGGGGGAGTTCACAACCCTTATATAGGCTACTGTCAATGGTTAGTCCCACTTGAGTGTGTTCCTTAGACATGTGACGATTTTCAATCTGATAATGGCACTTTATATAAAAGCAGCCATCCATTTCCATCCTTACAGAGTGTATGCATGTGACCATTTTTCATTTGTATGTGTACAGTGTCAGTGTATGTGTACACCTGTGTTGGCCATCAGTGCATCCTTAGAGAGGTACACAAAATTTGAATATACTTTAATTAGATCTTGATCATTTATCAAGAGATCCTTTACTGCCCTTTTTACTTATACCCTAAAGACATAAGTCATCATGCTGCCAGCTGCAGCAGCGACTAACTGAAAACTGATTGGCCATGCTGCATATTTTGCATCTGATGCCTGAACTGGTTCCAATTAATCTTTCAAAGATCTGCATTCAGGTATGCAGAGGAAACACATCTCACCTGTTATCTTCACAATACAAAATTCAGATAAAGATCAATAGTGGCATGAAGACATGTGATTTCTTCCATGAAACCTCTAACTTTTCTTTCTTTTAATCATCTCACATTTATTCAGATATTAATAAGGAAACTGCCTTCGCATTAGGTCATCCAGAGTGCATAATGATAAGCAGATGTAGAAATATGATCCACCCAAATGTATCATGCCACAAAAAGTGCTGTGGAATGAGTTTATCTAATGAAATCTACCTTTCATTTTTCCTTATCATTAGAGTTTGTTATTGGTCCAAGGTTGGGTGGAAACTCACAATGAGGCAATGGTCACAAGTAACACACCTTCAGTCATACCCTGAAGAATTCTGCAAAATATGCAGTATCTTTATTTATTATTTAAGCAGTGCATTTCTGTCAGCAGCACTATGCTCAGTAATGTCCTCAATGAAACCAGATCAGATTTATAGATGTGTCTTTAGCGACACAGGGGCAAGCTCAAGGCATCGCTGACTGGTCTGATAACAGCAGTGGCACAGAAAGGGTACAGACAAGCTATGTTATCAGAAGTAGCAGCTGCTCATACACAGGTTCTCATGACTTTACTCTGCCTGTGGAAACACAAACTCCAACTAGTGTTCATCAGTGGACAGCACACAGGGAGGCACCTAATCAAAGGGAGGGTGCTCTGGGGGTGCAGGAGGCACAGAGCTGTCTCAGACTTAATCACAAACTGTATGCAGCTTATATCATTTGTCCCACGGTGCGTATTGCTCCTCCTGAGCTCGTACTCAGTTAAAGTCAAGTGAAAAGGGCAAAAGCAGAGCTCCAGAGCTAATTTAACAGCATTCCCGTTTTACTTAAATTGGATGTTTCATGGTCAAAGAAAAGCTGTGTTAAATTTAATTTGCACTTATATCATATGTAAGACCTTGCTTTCTATTACAGCATACTGCATACTTATGCAGGTCATTGAGGAAAGATGTCTCAACACATCAAAGGTAGTTTTTAAGCCATAGAATGAAGAATATAGGCTACACATATTATCACAATTAAAATCAATGTTTGTACGGCACTTGGGTGTCACTTTAGCAATCAAATGTTAACTAATCGGTCCACACATGAATCCCTTATCACAGACCTCTTCTCCACCCGGACATGTGTGATCAGACATGTGTGATAATAATACATTTTTATTTATAGAGCGCTTTTCCAGGTACTGAAAGACAATTCACATAAGTTGAAAAATAGGTACAACACACTAAAAATATACATATATCTACAACATTCAACAATTAATCAAACATTAAAATCAGTTCTGAAGAGGTGGGTTTGGATGAGTGATGGATCAGTACAGTCTGGGCTGTGTGTTGGGGAGAGTTCCAGAGGGAGGGGGCAGCTATGGAGAACGCTCTGTCGCCCCAGGTACGATGCTTGGTCCTCGGTGGTGGAGACAGGAGGTTGGCATCAGAAGAGC